TGAATTACACTGTTTAGATAATAAATTTGTATATAAATTTAAAAATATAAGTGATATTTCTTTCACTTTTATCATTTCTTTTTTCAAGTTCCTACACAAACTTATAATTTAAATACAACATTAACGAAATTGTGATTTTAACTTCTGCTTTGAGTAAATAGTGGGTACCATTTAGGCCATGCTTGTTTGAGGAAAAGAATTAAGAGATGCATATTTTTTGTAAAGTATCACATAATTGTTAGATGAGATTACAAATAACATTTTAAAATGATTTAGATGGTGGTGAGAAGATAATTTGGATGGAAGTCTATCATTTCATATGAAGAGTCCTCACATTTTTTGATTGGTGAAGAATAGTGAAGTTTATATTTTTAGATAGGGTCAATATATATTTTGTGAATATATGGCCCACTGTATTGTATCAATCAAAAGTTGTATATTTTTATTCAACAAAATTATCAAAAATTATATATTGTTCACACACTCCAAAAGTGACGGATTAATAGTTACGACTCTAGACTAAACTACAAATCTTGCCAAACAAATGCCATATTGGAGGAAAAAATCTCAACTAGGGATCCCACATGTCTTCTAATCTAATTTGAACTCTCATGGTGCTTGGTTCTTAAATTTTAGATATAATTTTTAGAAAATTTTAAAATTTTTGTTTGGTTATCTAAAAAATAAAAAATAAAAAAAAATCGAAATTTTATTTTTTGGATGCACTTGAGAAATGGAGAAATTTGACATGAAATGATTAGATGAACATAAAGTGATTAGATGTAAATGTGAAAAGTGTTGAGGGAAGATCATTTTTTGACATAAAGAAATTTGACATTTTTTGGATGCACTCTCATTGTGCTTGCGGGTGAATTTTTTGAGGGAATAGAAATGAGATGGGAAAAGTGTATGAAGTAGTAGTTAAATTTAATTCACTTTTTACTTCCCATTTCTTTTCTCTTCATACACCTCTACCCAAGTCTATGATCCAAATACAGTGTTAAAGTTTCTTCATGGATAAGCTCTCTGGGTGGAGCTTGAAAAGAGCATCCATCATTGTGTTACTTTCATTTTAATGTCCTGTTTTCTCAAGGGAAACAATCTCCCTTGAAGCTGATACAATGTCATTCTTTGATTAGTTTCAAATGGAACGTAATTCAGACCATGCTTGTGCGCCATGTTATCTATTGAAATTGACTGGTTTTTGGTTTTGTTTGATTTCAAATTTTTAGGGCTATCATGGGCAGTGTTAGCAACTACGTGCTGAACAATGCTGCTTGTCCTGTTACAGTCGTGAAGTCGTGAAGAATGCAGATCATGAATGACTGCAATGCAGTATCCTGCTGGGATTTCTAGTATGAACTTGTATCAATTGGCCGTACTGATTGTAATTTATCTTCGAGTTTGAATTTAAGTCGCCGTGTGTGTGTAATGTATGTTGTGTAATCTAAATCTTCGCCTTGTGGCAGTGTTATGGACTTACAGTTTGCTGTAATCCAGAGGCCAAGAAGGAATAATGTCATTTGGGTCAGGTACGAAAGTTGAGCAGAGCTATGAAGAGTTCATTTAACAGCTAATGGACTAGAACAAATAGTAAAACTGAGGTAGGATTGGGCGTGATGTATGTACAGTTCGAAGGAGCAAATTATCAAACAGTTGGTGTGTGAGCATTCCAACTGAGTGAGTAAGACAACAATGTTGGTGTTTCCCTTCTTTTTCTTCGTTTTCCAGGTAACCAAACAGAGGGTAACGAAACAAAGAACAAACTCATATACCAATTTTCGAGAGATTATTGAGTGTAAAATCTACAAGCAAAACTGAAATAAGATTGAAATACATATATATCTACACACATATATGTGTATAAAGGGTGCAAATCAATGATTTAAGCAATACATGAAATAGAAAACCCTAACTTGTTGGTAGACAA